AAACTTAACAACTAACTATTAATAAGCAGCAAATTAGGAGTTTATCGAGGGAAAAGCCGTCAATAGCTAGAATTTAACCTTAAAATAAAGTGACCAGATGTTTCAGTTTTTCTCTGCATCTGTCCTCCACTCAGTTTAGCTGAATATCTTCTGATCTTTTATTAAATGTGTAGCAAGCAGTGCCTTGTTAGCAACAAAACGGCTAACCAAATTACATTGAAACAGAAATGTGACATAAACCAGATTGAGAAATTTGAAATATCAATAGTAAGGTGTTTCGGCATTCGGTATTCTACCAAATGTGACACGTTTATGGCAAGTTAGTAAAACAAAGACAGACTGATGCCCCATATTTTACTCTTGATAGTTATTTTGAAAGGTTTTCTTTGGCATTCTGTATTAATATGCCAAGTTGCTTAAATAAAAATAAATAAATAAATAAAGGCATTAGTTATATTATGATTTCATCTTATTTCACAGCTGCTATTCAGGAATCTAAAAATATATGTGGTGATAATGTAGAATCTGACCAGTAATTCACTAAATATGAACACAATTCGTCCAAATAGGAAATGACTAAAGCTGATAGGAACAGGGCGGAATTGTTTAGGAAAGGACACTCATGCATGAGCTAAATGCTGATCATTTTCAGCTTTACTACTATGACACAGTCAAATCAATTCAATCTGTCAGGGCACTGACCTCCAGAATACAACATACTTGCTTCAAATTACTTTTTTCCATGGGAATGTTTAATTTCTTACAGCTTAACAAATTTACGAAAACTTCCCTGCACTCTCTAAAACACATTTCTACATGTTAAAATCTTCTGACAAGAAGTGGTTCTGTTTTCCTTTGGGAAGACGAACGTCTGGGAAAACCAAAACAGCCTTTTCTTTGCTAGTGAATTTTTTAGACATATAAACAGACAAGAACAAACACTTGAGCGAATTTCACCACCATACAGTTGGTGGTTAAACAGGAAAAATGAATACGAGGAGGGGAAAGCTCTTCATTGTGGGACCTCAGGACCGGTCTGGCTCCAGACCGTCACTAAACTCTTGGCAGAAGAACTCTTGGCATTAATCTCTACAAACACATGGTAAAATAATCAAATTTTGATGTCTCTAGTCTTTACTCTGGGGCCATTCTCCAGTTGCCCTCTTTAATGGCATTTATATCAAACAGAGCAGTCTGGCGCAAACGATTCATTCGCTGGAATTAGATTTGAGACGTTAATGTCAGGCCTCGGTGAGGTGGGACAGGACACATGTAAAGACTGCCACAGTACTCTCTTCTAGTAGACCTTTACACATTGTCCTAATCATGCACAGATAAGTGTGTTTAAACCAACCTCGATTGTTTGATTTTGTTGCTTCATGCTGAATTTCGCTTTCTTTGAAGAACGAAAATTTCATAGCTTCTTTGTAGGACAAATGGGGTTGCTTTACTCACAACACGACTCCAAACAGAATGTGCATGTCTTTTTGTTCCATTTCTCGTCTTTATCAACCACAATAGTAGTGTTATTATTATCTCTGAAGTCTTGTTTGATTTGAACCATCTCATGTCCTCTCACCACAGCGTCTGAAAGATGAGATAGCCGAAGTGACTAGTGAGATCGAGAACCTGGGTTCCACAGAGGAGAGGTGAGCGGGCATCCCCTGACAGACTACTCACACCCACTTCACTTCCACTGATGTGCTCACTTTGTGAGTCATTCGTGAGGTCAAATCTGACTAGCATCTTAGCACCTAGCTACACAATCTACCATTCTGCAAAATGAAGCACCATAGAGAATTTCCAAAGAGATGTCAGCGTATTTCTGTCTGTGAAAGAATGCCGAGATTCAAAAACGATTCCTGTACTCTTTAAAAAAACAAAAAACAAACAAACAAAAAAAACAAATGGAACTGATTTAAAATGAGAACCAAATTTCAATTCAGTTTCACTTTTGGATCCGTTCACATATTATGGAGGATGTCAGTATGGCTGTATATTAGGGGTGGGTGATATAGCCTCAAAATTATATCACGATATTTCAAGAATATTTGCGATAACGATATTTATGACGAAAGTGACTTACCCCTTACTTACCCCTAATTTACACTGCACGCATCTGCGGCGCGTTACGGCTCCGACGCGGCCACTCTAGTCAATGCTTGTGTTTACACCAGCAGCAGCACGTTTCAGAAGCATCCCAGAAGCGGCTCTCCGCGCTGCTTCGCTAAAGATATGCGCCTCACCTATTTTTGACGATAAGAGTGTGCGCTCGAATATGCTATAGAACCGCTCTCGCGATACTTTGATGTCATACATCAGTGTGCAGCGCTGCTTCAAGTCGAACACACCTATTGGGTTTGTGGTGGTGTTGTTGTGCGCGCTAGGGAATGTATATCCGCCATATGTCATCGCATCGCTATATCATTGATATCGCGATATGACACTTTTTTATCATGTAAAAATGTATACCTATACCTATAAAAAAACCTTATGAAATCTTTTGTAAAAGGGCATAAAAAACATTTATGAACATCATAAATTTATGTTTAAAAATCATTATTATCGCTGCAGAAAAAACATGCAGAGGAACAAACAAGTGGCAATGGGCCGCAAGAAATTCAACATGGACCCCAAAAAGGTGATTAAGCAGTCTATTAAAGCATATTCACTGAATGAATTTTGTATCATTTGTCTTTTTTAAAGGCTCAACACCTTCTATACATGTGTTTTTGTAGGGAATCCAGTTCCTCATTGAAAATGACCTTGTGAAGAACACCAGTGAAGACATCGCACGCTTTCTCTACAAGGGTGAAGGTCTTAACAAGACCGCAATAGGAGACTACCTGGGAGAGAGGTGAGTGTGTGGATATTAGTGCACGTCCACAGTCAATAGAAAATAAAATGACGGAACCCAGTAGTGATAGGGATATTTGACTATTGATGCAAGTCATTTTTTCAGGGTTTAGGCTTGTAATTGGTAGCTGCAGTCTATCCATCTTTGTTTCTTTAAGATGCTGAAATTAGCTAAATTTCACTGGCTAAAAGGTCCATTGTGTCCACTGTCAGCAGTGTAGAGATGCACACAAAGCACCGCTCCCACAGAAGTCAGCTTCATCCCAAACAGCATTCTGCTGGTCAATTCATGCTGAAAAATCTGTGTGGGGAAATGTTTTCCTCCTACCCAATATTACCGAGCACACAGATTCCTGTTGAAAAATGCAATGCAAAATTTCGCCGTTCAATGGTAAATGTGACTGTGAAGTGTCTCAAAAGACAAGTCAATCATTTGGTTTGGTGTTGCATATTTGCATCAACAAAATATAGCTAATATGGCACCAAAATTAATATCGCTGAATAATCTTGACTTTAAAACTTGTAAGCAGCATTAAATTACTTCTATACCTTTAAACCAACCAGTAGTAGAAACATTAGTTTAGTTTAATATCTGTCAGCCGGTCTTTGTGCTAAATTCCTGGAAACTGGTGTCATCTTCTTACAGCAATTTGTACAGAGATACGGGATAATGTGGATTTCTCTGATCAGCCTTTTATCCTGACTCTTAGCTCATTTGACTCTTCATATTGAAGGAATGTTGACTCAAACAGGACTAAAATTCAGTAATTCAAAGAGGCGTGTTATTCTAGTTCACTGGGCAACACCTAGTGACTAGGTTGCATCTGCGCAATAATTCCTTTTTTTCCCTTCTTTGTCTCATCTTGGATTTCATTCCCACCGCTTCCTTGTTTTCTCTACTGGGTGTGGCTGCTGAACAAGTCAGGAAATGGAAAGCAGGGCTCTCTCTAAGACAGCAGATCAGATTGTATCTCTGAGCACTTCAGTTCCTCTGGTAGGGAGGGGTCTGCGGTGCTTTGTTCAGTGAGTGCACTGTCACCAGATCAAGATTGCCATCATCCCCATGAGGGATATCACATCCTCTGCTTGTAGAGGTTAAATGGCAAGACTTTGAAAAATGGTGCAGTGCTGAATGATCCCACATCCACTTTGACTTGAATAAGTCTTGTGCAAGAGAATTATGAACTTTTATCCACCCATAATAAGACAAATTTGCTTATCCTTATTGCATGGAAATGAGCAGCCAGTACATTTTTCGAAATCTCTCCTTTTGTGTTCCATGAAATAAAGAACGTCACTCTGGTTTGAAACAACATGAGAGTGTTATTAAAAATTACAGGATATTTATTTGTGGTTTGAGTCACTCCTTAAAGGAATAGTTCACCCAAAATGGAAAATTCTGTCATTTACTCATCCCCATGTCATTACAAACCCTTAAGACTCATTTTTGAAACACAAATGAAGGTCTTTTTTTTTAAAGTGATTTTTGTCACTTCATTGAAAATGAATTCCACCAAAACTTTCAAGCATCAAAAAGTTCATAAAGGCATCATAAAAGTAGTGCATATGAATCAAGCAGTTTAATCCAAATCATCTGAAAAGATAAATAATTTGTATATGATGAACAGTTTTAATTTAGTCTTTCATTCACATATAAATAATTAGCAATGCACATGTACAGAACACTTAAATATATGGTAAGCATAAGATGAACAAAAATATACTAGGTCTGGGATAAAAAAGAGTTTTCTGTTTGAGTGAACTATCCCTTGAAACTATTAAGTGTCCTAAAATTTGTAACTTACTACTTGCTCTCATTTTCGCTTTGTTCAACAGGGATGACTTCAATATCCAAGTCCTTCATGCTTTTGTGGAGCTGCATGAGTTCACAGATTTGAACCTGGTTCAGGCTCTCAGGTAAAACTGACTGTAGAATCCAGTATGGGCTCAATTAGTCTCTATTGGTATGTTCCAAATGGCATACTACCTACTTATTTTCATTAGAAAATAATATGCAGTATGTATAATGTGTGGAAATTATTCATTTGGAATTTATGAAAGACCTGCTATATTTGCCACTGTGTGCAGTATGCAAACAACACAATTCATTGGGTACAGCATCCACAGCATATCAGCTGTGATATCAGTGACATCAGACCACCAAGTATGCAACATAATGAAATCATAATGTGGCAACAGATGCTGTTTGAAATATTAAAAATAATACTACTACATGATTACTGTAACTGCTGTATAAAAAGCAGTACACTGGCATTTCATTGTAAATATAAACAGTGTATTTCACAAGAAGTATACTGTATGTAATTTAATCTCATTGCTTAGTGTTTTGATCCTGACACACACATCTCACTTTGAATGTCCTGGTATGTAATGTGTTTTTAAATATCATTATGATATTTGTCTCCACACAGGCAGTTTCTCTGGAGTTTCAGACTTCCTGGTGAGGCCCAGAAGATTGACAGAATGATGGAGGCGTTTGCCCAGCGCTACTGCCAATGCAACCCGGGAGTCTTTCAGTCCACAGGTGGCTCTGCTTTACATTTTAGTCTGTGTTCTGTATTCAATCATGCATTTATAGCATTTCCAAGAAACATGAGCTGTGTTTTACCAATATTGCTTTCCACAGTAATGCTCACAAATTGAGAGTTTGAAATATTGAATTGGACAGATGCATTCTTCTCTAAATAAATACAGAGTTCTGGCATGAAACGCTAGATGGCGCAGTCTGATAGGTCGAACTCAATCTGACCTAATGATATCATTATCACATGGCACAGCTGATTGGTTCTCTCCTGTATCGATAGCCAATGAGCTCGCTGCTCAACATTCACGTATATGACTAGTGCTTGCTGTAGCTGTTGCAGCTTGCTTCAGAAACCCTCCACCTTCCCCAGCTCCACCTGTATAGATCTGCTACGAGGTGATTCATGAATGCTATATGGGGGTTATTTCATGTATGCTATATTTGCAGCAGCAATATTTCTTACATGCTCACAGCAGCATGTTGTGGATGAATTGGCAGTAGTAAGTCTCGGTACTTGCTCTGCCGCAACAGCAGCATAGCAGATCTATTCCGCCAAGACCAAATACATTAACATTGTCATGTACATTACCATGCCAATCCCTCCAAGAGTTGTCATGACAAAAATTACATTTAACAGTTGCCTATATTTCCAACAGGTAAAAGAAATTTCCAGGCAGATGGCATTAAAAAAAATTAGTGTGTGTAAATGCTAGCAAGTTGTTAAATGCCCTCACACACATATTCACACCTTGCTACCCTACACACCCTTTAAGTTCTGTGTTTGGTCTGTTTGCTGTGTATGTATTAGACACTCTTCCTGGATGTTCATGTCATGTTCACCCTCTGTTAACTTCACAGTCATACTACTACTTATTAGCATTAATTCGACTTACAGTATGAACATGAACTATTTAAATGACAGTGATGGAAAGATGCTGAATGTCATTGTAAATGGTTGTGACGAACAGCATGCTTTTTTGCAGACACGTGCTACATTCTGTCCTTCGCCATCATCATGTTAAACACCAGCCTTCACAACCCAAACGTTAAGGACAAGCCCACAGTAGAGCGATTCATCTCCATGAACAGAGGCATTAATGATGGAGGAGACCTGCCAGAAGAACTGCTCAGGGTTGGTCTCCTCGCTCTCACTTCTTTTTATGTTTGTAGATGTATTTAGGCTATATTGTTGTTGTATTTTTTTCTCCAAGTGATGTATATTTCATGTGTTCCCAATGTATTATACATTCTTTTCTTAGACCAGGGTTCCTCATTTCTGGTCCTAGAGAGCCACTTTCCTGTAGAGTAGCTTTCTAGAGGACTTTGCCCAACCATTCTGAATGAATAACACACTTTTTAATGCATTCTGTCTCACCATATAAGTATATTTGTGGCTATACTGTAGATGGCGTGCATGTGCTTGTTTATCTTTTGAACTTCATAGTCTTTTGGTTTGACTTATGCAGAATCTATATGAGAGCATCAAGAACGAGCCCTTCAAAATTCCTGAGGATGATGGCAATGACTTGACACACACTTTCTTCAACCCTGACAGAGAGGGCTGGCTGCTCAAACTGGGTGAGTGGGACTACATGAGTACAATATGTATACATTTTTTTACCTTCACATGCACTTACACTTGAATAAGAGATGTTCTGATCGAGCACATGGACTGAGTGTGAGATTTAATGCTTACATGCACTTCCTGAAAGCCAATTTCTATGATCTTCACAACACTTCTACACATCAGATTATACAGTAGCACATCTTTCCCTCTGCTCTCACTTCATATGAAGGTAATCACATTTCATGATCACAATGAATCAACTGCTTGAGATTGAACACATCCTTTTATAATTACACATAATTCGGTTGGATGTTAGGAAGTGTTAGGAATCAGAGCGCTGTCACTGTCATGAGAGCTGCAAGAGAAACTGCTCCTTCAGTTTTCAGTTATAAAACGACAACTGGTTGTTATTTGAATGAAAAACGCTCATTAATAGGTATATCCATGATTACTGTAAAATGCTGAGAAACACACCTATGAGTGCACCTTGTGAAAAAATTCCCAAGCAGTTGAATTTTATTAATTTATATGACTTTCCAGGTCTAGAAATCACACTTTTATAGTTCTTCAAAGCCACCTGGTTGAGAATCACAGATTCAGAGCATTATAGAGACTTCATAGACTTCATACATTTTTTACAGGGAACTTCATTGAGGGTTTCACAGAGAGCCCACCAATTATTGTTTGAAATGACAATCCGCAGCAAAAATATTAGTGCTGTCAAACGATTAATCGCGATTAATCGCATCCAAAATATAAGTTTTTGTTTACATAATATATGTGCGTGTGCTGTGTATATTTATTATTTATAAATACACACACATGCATGTATATATTTAAAATATATATGTTATATTTATATATTAACTGTTTATATATTAACTAGATTTATATATAATATAAATTATATTAATATAAATGTTTTCAAAATATGTCAATTCAGTACTTGCACAATGTCTGAGAGACGTTTCTGTGTAAATAAACCCAAAGCACGTGAACATAAAACCACCTCTCAGATGCAAACGTTTGCGTCCTTTTTGTGCTTAAATGGGCAAATACACAAAACACAGCTGGTTATTTCTCAGTTAAGAAAATCATGTGTATCGGTACAGTATATTAGATTTGTGCATTAGGTCTTAAAGTGACAGCAGCCTAACACCCCTGCTACTGTCTGTGTAATGATAATTAAACACTAAAAGACAAAGCGAAAATTACTCACTGCTCTTGAATGAGTAGTTTTTGTAGATTTAATAAGAATCAATGTATATTTAATTCATATATAAAAGGCTATGCATTTTTTTAAGCTTTGATTACTTATTCAATTTATGTAGTATTTTTTTTGTTTGTTTTGTTATTGTTGTTTATAGATGGATGTGAAAAAGATAAACCTGAACTATTTTCATTGTTCATGTTTTCTTACTGTATGTTTACTTTTGAGCTTATACTTGCATTAGTTAGGCTAGTATTTTTTTAGTATTAGTTCTTGCAGTGAATTGTCAAGAATTGTGAAATTTCTAAATATAAATAAATAAATCGAAAATGATGTCAGGACAAACATATTTTAGGCAAAATTTTCTTTATTTTAGCAAAACTAATACTGTTATCATGAAATAAAGTTGCACATAAGATTTTGGTTATATAAGATTTTGGAAAAGAGCAGCTTGGACATACTTCTAAATATTGTCTTTTGTGTTCTATTGAAGAAGGAATTCATATGGGTTTGGAACAAAATGATGACAGAATGTTCATTTCTCTGTGAACTGTTTCTTTTCAAATGATATTCAATCATTAATAGTTGAATGTCTGGAGTGCACAAGATGTGGTGTTTGATCTGATTAGACTGAGTCAGAAAACTGCATCTGGACCAAAGACTGCTGTTCTTCATGCTGTATGTAAAGTATAGATGTGTGTGTGATGCTGGATTGCAGTGCTGAGGAAAGTGTGTTTGTGTGTGTGTGTGTGTGTGTGTGTGCACGTTTTTGTGACAAATGAGGACATAAATTTGTATAATGACAAAGGTATGACATAGGTATTACAAGGAGAAGGTGACTTTTCAGGACATTACCACATGTCCCCACTTTTCAAAACGCTTATAAATCACACAGAATGGAGTGTATTGAAAATCTGAAATAGCACAAAGTTTCCTGTGAGGGGTAGGTTGAGGGGTAGGATTGGTGTAGGGCAATAGCACATACGGTCTGTACAGTATAAAAACCATTACGCCAATGGGATGTCCCCACTTTTCACAAAAACAAACCTGCGTGCGTGCGTGTGTGTGTGTGTGTGTGTGTGCGCGCGTGTGCTTGGTCAGATCAGACTCACCACTAGGATGCTGGGTGAGGGTGGGTTTCGTGAATCACTGAAACCAAAATCAAACCATAATCTGAAGTGTTCTGATTCACTCTCAAGTCAAGAATATGAGATAAGCACATACATTTGTATAATAAAATACTTCTAAAAGAAATTAAGGATTGAGCCTTTTTGTTGTCACATCAGAGACCTGACTAGGAACACCCATCACTCACCCAGCCCTGTATCAGTGTCTGTCAATCAATCTGCCTCCTCTGCAGCCCAGCAAGGCTCCTCATGCCCCCCTCCACAAATCTCCTTCCTCTCTGAGGCATTTCTGGACGGGGTTTCTGCTGTACGCCCGCAGCTGGAGTGATCATTAATCACAGCCGATAACTCAATCAGCCAATCAGCTTGCTCAGAAACCTCTTCACCTGCTGTAGTGCTCTGATTCGTGTTTGTCGCTCATGTCAGTATTAGAATACAATGGCAGTCTGTAGTGCAGGAGGATCATTTCCTGTTCAGCAGAAATGCTTGAAATGCTTTTGGGTGCTTGACATGACCTGCTTGTGTGCAGTGCTGTATTGCATAGAAAACTAATTGAACAACATTAGGCCTGTCACGATCATGAATTTTGTGCTGAAGATGATTTTTTATGTTTTACAGGAAAACATGTAATTATATTTTTCACTGCTGTAAAAATAACATTTTAAAAGTAGAATTTTTTTTTTTGTGCATCTTTCATTCACTAATCACACTAATCATTCACACTGGAGCTCAGCAGACCTGAAATATAATATAATATAATATAATATAATATGAGGGAACTTACAAGCCTTTATTTTCTATGAATAAAGAACTGAAGAAGTGTCTTTGTATACTTTACAGCAGAGTTTTATTATTTTCATAAATAAAATGAGCGACTCATCCTGTGACTGTCATTGGCGCTACGTGAAACTCTAAGGCCCAAGAATGTTTAGCATGAAATGGATGTAAAATAATAGTAAAACCAGAGCATTTTTTCGACCATTATGCACATTAGGCTTTTATTATAAACTTCTGCATTAAAATGTACATTATTTAAATGGCAAAACTGCAGTAGTATCATGGTTATCTCAAATATTAGTGATTAGATAAAATAACCAGTAATCAGTCACAGTAACAGGCCTAAAAAACATTTTGCTACTGATTTTATAATCATCATGCATGCAGATTTTATTAGCTCATATTCACTAAGAGACTTCATATGATACTTGATACAGCACATTTGAAAATCCACTGCAGAATCAGCCAAAATCAAATTTGAGATATAATTCTGAACAGGTAGAAATAGACTATTTAGTTTTAAATGACTTAAAGATGTCTACAGACATCAACCACACTTACACTCAGTTAAAAGTGTTTTTGCTTGCACTTTGGTTGCATCTACTTTGCCGGTGTGATCAGGTTCCCCTGGAGAGGAAACGAGGGTGGCGCAGGTCAGAGGTCATCCTCGGATCACTGAGCGCTGTATTTACCTTGCAGTCCCTATAGAGAGGGACGTGGGAAAATGTCCCAAGAATGTGAGCTTAAGAATGTACTGCACTGACCTGCTGTCAGAGTTTGTCACAGCAGATTACTAACATAGTCTGTTAGTTAATTAGGTGCTTAATATTATTATCACCAAATAGAGCGTGTTGGCGTATTTTTGTAGGCCAATCCAGTTTGCATCACCCTGGTTACCGTGACAAAAAGCCAGTTAGTGTTTTCAATTAGCTTTCGGATTATTGAAAATAAGATAACCTTCACAAATGAACAACGTTTCAAAGCTTAAATACAATCGCCAGAAGTAAAAAGCTAAACATAGGCCATAAATGAACTACACCATGAGTTAATGGGCCCTATTTTAACGATCTAAGCGCATGGTCTAAAGCGCACGGTGCAGTTGCGCTTACGGCGTGTCCGAATCCACTTTTGCTAGTTTAAAGGGTTAGTTCACCCAAAAATGAAAATGATCCTGTGTTTTATTCAAAGCTTAAATACAATCGCCAGAAGTAAAAAGCTAAACATAGGCCATAAATGAACTACACCATGAGTTAATGGGCCCTATTTTAACGATCTAAGCGCATGGTCTAAAGCGCACGGTGCAGTTGCGCTTACGGCGTGTCCGAATCCACTTTTGCTAGTTTAAAGGGTTAGTTCACCCAAAAATGAAAATGATCCTGTGTTTTACTCACCCTCAAAGGATCCTAGGTGCATATGACTTTCTTCTTTCAGACGAATCGGCGGATAACGCAGCACGTATGCGCAGCGCACGCGCCTCTTAGAAATGCTTCGGTTTGTACTTCTAATTCGTGACCGGCGTTTTGTTTTGTTCTCTCTCCGCGTTCGTCACTAATCGCGCAACGCTGACGTCATACGTCATCCACCGGAACGGCTTCCGCGTATGACAGATAACGGAAGTAAGAGAAAAGTGTTTATTACGTTTGAAATATGGATATTTTTCTTACAAAAACACATGGATTCGCTACAGGAGGCCTTTATTCACCCCCGGATCCGTGTGAAGCATGTTTTATTACGAATGCGCGAGCTTTATTTGCCGACTTGTGGACTGTTCAAGGGCAACACCTGCTGACTGCAATGATAGAGCTTGGAATAGCCAGGACAATTTTTAATATAACTCCGACTGGATTCGTCTGAAAGAAGAAAGTCATATACACCTAGGATGCTTCGAGGGTGAGTAAAACACAAGCCAATTTTCATTTTTGGGTGAACTAACCCTTTAAGGAATGGTCGGCGCCCGGCGCATGGTCTAAAAGGGTTGTCCCTATTCTCTTAATGAGTAATGGGTGTGTTTTGGGCGTAACGTGCAATAAACCAATCAGAGTCTCATCTCCCATTTACATGGCGGAATTTACAAGCGGAAAAACGGAAGGCTTCTCTAGTGAGGGAACGGATCTGCTCGAGCTCGTAATTCTGATACATGCAAAGACTATCCATTATGACATGTAGGCATTTTTATGTATATGTACACAATAATCATCTTTTAGATTTTAATTCTTTAATTTTTCATTTTTAAAAATGTTTGTGTGCTGCTGCACATGTGTGTAATAAGAAAAGTGTATGCGTGTTGTGCACCCGCCTATAGGCGCATATTACTAACGCGCTCTTTAAATAACAAAAAATAAATATCGCGTCCAGACTTTAGACCAGGTTTCAGTTGGTCAATGGCTCAAAATAGCAACGCACCAGCAATGCACCTGAACACACCTCATTTTCAGACCAGCACACCCATGGGCGCACAAATAGGCGCAAATGCATTTGCTATTTAAACAACGTGGCGCAGGACGTGAAAATGACAACTGCGTCTGGCTGAAACGAGCAAAAAACACTTGCGTCGCACCTGGTGCCGCATTGCGCCTGGTGTATGATAGGGCCCTATCTTTTCGGTTTTCAAAATAAAAGCCTGTTTGGCTTTTTTAAGACTAGTAATAGCTTTTTAAAAAAGTCACAAGGGGGTTTTATTGATGTATTTTATGTCTTCAAATAAAATGTAAGCATATGCTTAGCCTGTTAACCACAGACCTTATTTCAGGCCAGAAATCCATTTTAAAACACCCATTGACAAGCGGATGTTGATCTCATTTCAGGATTTTGTTCTACAAAAATATCATCTCTGCTGCACTCTTGATTCTTGTTCTTAGTTTAGTTTAGTCTTTTAGTCACTTTTAGTTTTAGGCATTGTCATTCAAGTCTACATTTTATTAATATTTTGACATTTTTGCTAATTATATTGGTAAGAATATAAAAAAAAGGACAAGAAATAATGACGAGAAGACGACTGAGAAATGGCAACCTTTGTGTATTTCACATCTTTCTGGAAAGCAAACATCAACTAGTTCTAGAGCTTATTGCTCCGTTTAAACACGTTTACTTTTGGCTGGTCCTTTCAGAGGTAAACAGAGTTTTTGAGCGGGGTTAAGAGGAATGGCAACTCTCAGGTGAAGCTCGACTCGTGGCGTGTGTTGGACCGTGGCTGGTTTGAGCATGGTGTGGTGTTGCTCGTAAGGAATGCTGTGCTTGGGCCTTATTGGACATGGAGTCCCTGTAGAAGAGCTCTCATTGTCTGTTCATCTGTCTGTCTGCTCTTCTGCCGCTCAACTCTTCAGCTGCACGGATCTGTGACGTCTGACGCCTCATCACACGGAAAACTAACTCTCATCTTTTGTTCCTCAGGGGGACGCGTCAAAACCTGGAAAAGGCGGTGGTTCATCCTCACAGATAACTGTCTTTACTACTTTGAGTACACTACTGTGAGTACTGAAGAAAGAAGAACTTGTCATGCTAGATGGAGAGATTTATGGCTTTTTTTTGTGTGATATCTGACATGCAAAACCCTTTTCGTCGTCTTCTTTTTTGACCCAGCAATAGATGATGGTGAATTGTAATAAATGGAAACGTGTCTCTTTTCATGTAGGATAAAGAACCAAGAGGCATCATCCCCCTGGAAAACCTCAGCATCCGTGAAGTGGAGGACAAGAAGCCGGTAAAACATCCTTCTCTGCTATTTTGAAACTGCAGAGACAGGATCTTTTCCTGATTATCTAGGGAGAGTTGACACCGTATCTCCCCCTGGAGGTCAGATGTGTGATTGTCTGCATGTGTTTGCTTCTCAGAACAGCTTTGAGCTCTTCATCCCTGACAATAAGGACCAGGTGATCAAGGCGTGTAAGACCGAGGCGGACGGACGGGTCGTTGAAGGGAATCACACCTTCTACCGCATCTCCGCTCCCACCACCGAGGAGAAAGATGAATGGATGAACAGCATTAAGTGAGTGGATATTCTGGTTTAAATACAGCTCTTCTATGTTAATGGAATATTCATTTGTGGTCAGATCCAGATAATTCCCATTCTGGAGTCAGGTATTTTTCTATAATGACACAATGTATAACTGACCACTGTATCATTTCAGTGGTTCCCCATAGCTGGGCTAGTTTTGTATCTCTCATATGACTCTCACTTTCTTCTGACATAATGAAACAAGTCAATATTTAATGTAAATTCAGTGGATTTTTTTACACTAAGCGCAAATAGCCCATCTTGTTGGCAGAGGCACAAACATGTGATTGGGATAGACAAAAGACCCGAGTTTGAATTAGCCTTTTGTTTGTTTTGAGTTTTGCCGAACTCGTTCCTCTCTCTTTCTTCCCTCTTTTCCCATCACATATCAGATCGGAAAGGTGTTTATTTTCAATAAAAATGGAGGGAATATTCAAAAAGTGGAGTAAAAAGGTAGAGTTAGGGGTAGGTGCATGACTGGTTTTTACTGTCCATTTAAAGGGTTAGTTCACCCAAAAAGATTGAAAAATCAATAACAGAATTTAAATTTTTGGGTGAACTATCTCTTTAAGGCTGCTTCCATTTACTAATAAAAAAAATATAATTTACATGCAATATGTTATTACTGCGTACTGTTTTGTAATGTACTACAATACTGAGGTGCAAATATCTGCCAAGAAGCCTATAAATAGCATCTACAGTAACTACTATTTACATTTATTGCAAAGAAAATACCGCATTTTACATTTGTATGTATAGATCTTTATACAGCACAGGTTGTTTCAAAGCAGCTTCATAGTAATAAACAGGAAGATAACAGTATTAATGTTGCAAAATTCAGGTATGAAACTAATTGAATTTCAGCTGTGAAGCAGCTTTACAGTAGGACAGTAGTGTTGTTATTCAGTGTTGATTAGATTTAACAATGTCAATGTTGAAAAGTTAATCAAATACGAAATTAATTCAGTTGTGCTCTACAAAAGATCAATTCAGATTTTGGACCAGATTTACTAACAGCTTGTGTCGGCAAATCGTTTTTAAAAAGATTTACTAACGGCAAATCGTCTTTTGCCGTTAAAATAATAGTCAGGATTTACTAAAGAATTAGTGCTGAAAAGTCGTGGACACAGTTATTTTTGCGCCTGACCTTATTGAATATGCATTTGTAGGAGTTTCCCTTTCAAACACAAAATTTATGAGAGGAGAGTATTAAAATGAATCACACAACGTGATTTACTAACGTTTGCACTTGTGAAATGACTGGTATTTGCGCCATTATTTAACACCAAAAGAGCCTGTCTTAAAGCAGGCGGTAATTTGCGCTGCTCTGTGTAGATTGCGCTGGTCATTATGGAAATGATCTGGCTGCGTCTGAGTTCTTTAATGTGGGCATTGTCAGTAAATCACACGCAGAATTTGTCCTTCCCATCGGCGCTTTTATGGAAATGTGCTCTAATGCTAATTTGCCTTTTTTAGTAAATCTGGGCCTAAGTTTTGTTCTCATCCAATAGTATCAGTCCAATCGATAATATTCAAAAGTATTAAGTGTTATTTAAAGGGATAGTTCACCCCAAAATGAAAATGTTATGTTTATCTGCTTACCCCCAGGGCATCCAAGAAATAGGTGACTTTGTTTCTTCAGTAGAACACAAACGAAGATCTTTAAATCAAACCGTTGCAGTCTGTCATTCATATAATGTAAATGAATGGGAATCATGGCTTTGAGAGTCAAAAAAACATACACAAATTAAACCCTGCTGCTCATGACGATACATTGATGTGTAAAGACACGAAACGATCGGTCTGTGCAAGAAACTGCACAGTATTTATATTGTTTTTTACCTCTGATTCACTGCAATGTCTGAACTGTCCTGAGCACGTCCGCGTCTTCTTCGTCAGCCGGATCGCAGACTTATAAGTGCATTACTGCCACCTATCTCTCAAATGGACCATTGACACTCCTAATTGAGATTGTAGATAGAGTGTGAATGGTCTATTTGAAAGATAGGTGGAGAGGTAAAAAACTATATAAATACTCAGTTTCTTGCACAGACCGATCGTTTCGTGTCTTTACACATCAATGTATCGTCACGAGCAGCAGGGTTTAATTTGTGTATGTTTTTTTGACTCTCACAGCCATGATTCCCATTCATTTACATTATATGACTGACAGACTGCAACGGTTTGAGTTAAAAATCTTCGTTTGTGTTCTACTGAAGAAACAAAGTCACCTACATCTCGGATGCCCTGGGGGTAATCCGAGATAAACATCAAATTTTCATTTTTGGGTGAACTATCCCTTTAACCACAACTGATTAATCTTGAGCTCTAACATTAGAAGAGAAGCCGTTCTCATAATATTCCTCCTCTTCATCTCCAGGGCGGCCATCAGTAGAGATCCTTTCTACGAGATGCTGGCAGCGAGGAAGAAGAAGGTCTCCTCTATGAAGAGACACTAGAGCTGCTCAGGACGCTGGTGTTACAGATTCAGGGCTACTGGAACTGCTCCCCCTCGTGGAGACAGCTGAGCTGCGCAGAGAGAAAAACAACCCCAGCTTCAGAAAGGAACCAGACCGGATCAGCGGAAAAGCACCTCTTTTAGCTCTAACATTAGAAGAGAAGCCGTTCTCATAATATTCCTCCTCTTCATCTCCAGGGCGGCCATTAGTAGAGATCCTTTCTACGAGATGCTGGCAGCGAGGAAGAAGAAGGTCTCCTCTATGAAGAGACACTAGAGCTGCTCAGGACGCTGGTGTTACAGATTCAGGGCTACTGGAACTGCTCCCCCTCGTGGAGACAGCTGAGCTGCGCAGAGAGAAAAACAACCCCAGCTTCAGAAAGGAACCAGACCGGATCAGCGGAAAAGCACCTCTTTCTAAACATCTTCTTGCTCGGCTCAAGTGTGCATGTGTGTGTGTGTGTGTTGGAAGGAAGTCAGTGGGCTTTTTACTTGCTGCTGCTTCCTTGAAACCCCCAAAGAGAAAATTTTTCCTCACGCTTAACCAAAATACGCTTTGTCCTCTTTCCACGCCTCTCGTCTCTTGCACACGCGCACACTCTTGCGTTATCTGAAATCAGCAGGTCTGACAGAATGTGGAAAACCGAACGAAAGTTCCTACGCGCATCAGAAAAGGACGATTTCCTTCGTGCTGATGATATGTACAGGCAATATGTGTGTGTGTTGGAAGGAAGTCAGTGGGCTTTTTACTTGCTGCTGCTTCCTTGAAACCCCCAAAGAGAACATTTTTCCTCACGCTTAACCAAAATACGCTTTGTCCTCTTTCCACGCCTCTCGTCTCTTTCACACGCGCACACTCTTGCGTTATCTGAAATCAGCAGGTCTGACAGAATGTGGAAAACCGAACGAAAGTTCCTACGCGCATCAGAAAAGGACGATTTCCTTCGTGCTGATGATATGTACAGGCAATAAGTGTATTTTTACTTCTTTTTTTTTTTTTAACCGTGCACAAGCAGCTTAGTCCTCAGAGGTTTATTTGTGTATTTAATTGTAAAAACATTTTCCAAGAAACTTCTATAATTTGCAAAGGAAATCCAACTTTGTTGGGAGGGTGGGAAATCACCCTAGATTTGCTGGCAGATTGATTTGCCCCTAACGGTAAACGGCTCCACGGGCATTTGTTTATTTTCTTGAAATGCGACATGCGTGTTAAGCTTGTTGTGAGAAGCTGCTGCAGTGCTTTGAATATTGGCCGCTGGGTTTGCAGTGTAACACGTAAGCAGAAAGACTGGATGGTGGCCAGCTAGGGATTATGGGATATCACCATTACCAGGATATCATGCATCGGTTCTACCTCTCAGACAGACAAGACGGTAATTAGCATATTGTAATGTTTTTTTTTTTTACGTGAGGTCTTTTAACCTAGAGTGTTTGGACTTTCACATAAAATGCTTTTAATAAAAATGAATAAATGTGCCTAATAACAATTCAAGTTCAGTGTCAGTAAAGACTGTCAATGGCAGGTTCAATCAGAAGATGCTTCAGTGCCTGCTTGTGTTTCTCCAGTCACCTTCCTTTCATGAGTTTCCATCGGTCTAGCAGTTATTCTTCAAGCGAAATGTTAAATCTAAGCAGCATCGGTTTAATTTATCAAAGATGTACATACTTTAGTGTATAGAGAATATTGGTTTCCATTTTATAAATGTGTGTACTGTATGTAGCAGTATTGTACTAGTCGAGTGCCATTTTCTTTCCTTTTTTATTTTTGTGTTCTGGAGGGCCGTACCATTGTAGTGGTAGCCAGATCATGCTGAAATAAAGATATTATAGCAGCTGCGGTTGTGTTTTGCTTTTTGACTTTATCTGATTCAATCACATATAAGCGCTGAGATCAGAACAGCTGTGTCTTCTCAAAATGAGTAACAATTATTGACTAAAAAGAAAGGAAAAGCACAAAACTGAACAGATTTCTGTATACAATCTGTACGCAGTATCTGAGTAATACCGGTAGGTGGCAGCATAACGACAGTTCCCACTAATAATTCAGAGGTAAAGATGTAGGGTTTTCAGTGAGGATCTGTGTAAACAAAAAACGGAGTTAGGGTTTAAAAGTAATGGATTAGAATATTTCGCTACTCTACTAAAAAGTAACTAATTGCGTTACTTAGCTACTCTTTATGAAAAGTAATGCGTTATCCGATTACGTAACTCGCATTACTTGTAACAACACTGATAAACAATTGAATAAACTAATGGTAGTTTGAGGACCAATTCTCACTATTAACTACAACTTTTGCTTCAATAAACTCCTAATTTGCTGCTTATTAATTTAGTAAGGTATTGTTAAACTTAGGTATGATAGGATTAAGGGATCTAAAATATGGTCTTGCAGAATAAAGCATTAATGTGTGACCCTAGACCACAAAACCAGTCTTAAGTAGCACATATTTATAGCAATAGCCAACAATACATAGTATGGGTCAAAATTATAAATTTTTCTGTGATACCAAAAATCATTAGGATATAGGTAAAGATCATGTTCCAGGAAGATATTTTGTAAATGTCCTACCGTAGGGTAAATATATCAAAATTAAATTTTTGAATAGTAATATGCATTGCTAAGAACTTCATTCGGACAACTTTAAAGGCGATTTTCTCAATATTTCGATTTTTATATATATATTTTTTTGCACTCTCAAGATTCCAGATTTTGAAATAGTTGTATCTCGGTTGTCCGATCCTAATAAACCATACATCAATGGGAAGCTTATTTAATTTCAATTAAATTTCGTAATGCTAGTAATATGCAAACTGTGAGAATTGTTGCCTAAGGTGTTACAAAACTAATATTAGAATATAATCATAGAATAGCTCAAATGTAAACATTTTTTTTGCAATAATGCACTTTATATGGAAGTCCATTGGGGCATTGTACCATGTACAATTAAAATACATATTATTTATTAAAAAAAATGCACCCACAAGACTTAAACATTATGTTGCTATAAGACTAGATGGGTAAACATACCAAAACGGTCTGGGCAAGATTATACTGAATCTTTCAATCCATCATGACCATGTAACTTTTGCACGATGCATGAGGATACCAGAAAGTAAAGAACTGGTGTGGAATCCAAATGTCTTGCTGCATAGTGTAATACGGTTTGTTTTAGATAATAAACTATTTTCATTGGTAATTCATTGTCACAGATGTGTTTACAGTGAATACAATCACACAGCTGCATGAGGAATAACAGCAAATGCTGGTTCGTGATACATTAACCAAAAAAGGAAAAACTTCATTACAATTGGATAAAATCCAAACTTACACATTCATTGGCAAGAGAGCTAATTGTTACAGCATTCATATAAAAAAAGGGCATCTGTGAGACATTTCTTTGTTCTCTATTATTTCCTTGTCACAATTGCAACACACTTTACAGAAAACTATGTCATATATATTTAAAGACTTTTATGGACTCCTTATCAATACTCCCAACGTTGACATTTCCTCATGACACCCTCTTATTGTAAATCTGCACACTCTTGTCAGCTCTCCTGAGGAACAGAGTGGCGTTTGATGTTCTGTATTCTTTCTGTTTCTGGAAAATGTCAAATTTCCACAAAGCACAAGTGTGTGTGAGAGAGAAAGAGAACGAGGAAGAGAGAGAGTGTACAGCATGTGAAATGAAACCAGAAGGAATGCTGTTTTGTTTTGGTAATTTTACACGCAGATTTGCTGAAGTGTGAGCTCATGAAAACAGCACAGTTTTTATAGCTAATGCATGTTAACAATGTTAGCAAGTGATGTTAAAAAGAAACTATTGTAATGGTTGTGTTTCACTTAATAGGCAGCAGCACTAATGGAGGGTGGTTTAAAACAAGTACATGCGGTATATCCTGCCCACTTTAAACTGCATCATCGGCCCCTGAACTCAGTGTGAAGGTTTCCTTGCACAGGCTTGGGAAACTGAACAGCAGCCAGCGCACATTATTTCATGCCAGCATTCTGGAAATGCCGAGCGGTCAATGCCCACTTGGCAGCCGCTGCAATGAGATGAGCATGAGTGTCATGTCTCATGCTGGAGTGGGGACAGATATGTCAGCTTGCGGGATTCCTCGTTCCCCCCGGCTAAATAGATCCATGTGCGAACTCACAGGCCGCCAATTAACTACAGCCTGTTTCCCAGAAGAGAGGAGCTCCTCCCGCTCTCACGCACTCCTGTTTGATTCAGCAACTGTGGATCTCACACACACACACAGAGAGAGAGACTGCTGTAGAGATATTATTGTAGGCTAAACTCACAAGAGTGGCTGTGTTTCATTCTACACTGGAGGCATTGTTCGAATAACAATAAAGAAGCTGCTAGAGTTTCTTGGAAACCCAGGACATAAAAAGACTGTTCGCAAAGCCATGAGTTCACACCAAGGAGGTCTGCAATACCTGGGGAGAGCTAGCCGTTCCCATTCAACAAAATATGGACTATGTCTACTTTTCAGTGCCATAAAATGCTTAAATACCATACAATGCTTTTTGGGGTCAACCTGGCAAACCTTGACCAAACCTTGCATCACAGAAGGAATTAAATGTTAAAGTTCATTGACATCTTCCTTCCTTATTGCAGACACCTGTACTTTATGTTTATGATGAGAAATGACTTAATGGCAACAACTATTGCTCTGTTTTGACCTACATTAACTATTGCTTAAATAGACCTAAATTACAATCCTACATATAACCGCAAGTTAATGGAAAACTATTAAAACCCATAAAGCCAAAATATAATATATCACCATGTCTGATGACTTTTGTAAAGCCAATAAAACGTAGAACACAGTAAATATGATAGCTTTGTTATTACAACATAAAATTCAACATTAAAATAAGGAATAATGTGTTGTTTCAAGTTAAAAAAAGAAAGTGTTCATGCTTGATTCATTGTGAGTTGTGATAACTTAAAGCGATAGTTCACCCATAGTTCACCCAGTTCTGCATCAAAGGTCACGAACAGGCCGAACGGATTGCTTTAAGTTGGTATTGTTGGAACAGATTGTTCTGTGCTTCTCTTGAACCCTTGTGACTGAGAGACTTGGCATGCTTCCTGTTGTCCGGAACTCTCTTTCAAATGAAGGGATTAACAAGGAAGTAGCACGAGATAACAAGCCTCAGCCTGCTCCAGCTCTCTGGTATTCGGGGTCAAGAGATATCGATAAGAATAAAGGAGCTGTGCTTATACTAAAGGTGCACAGACAGCAGGGGAATCTGTTTGCTGCGAGCACATGCTGAAGTGGGTTACTATCAAATGCCTTCTTGCTGAGCACTGCACTACTGTTCTCACTGAACTGAGAAAAAAAGAGGCATGGAGGAAGTGCAGACAGCAGCCAGAAAGCATGGAGTGAGAAGATCTGAGAGAGTCCAGGCAGGAAACTGCAGCAGAGAGTTTCTGACCACCAGGGTCTGCCATGCTGTCTGCTCTCTGTGTCATTCAAATAGTGCTTGTTAAGCCTCAATATAAACACATGTGCACACGCATTTACTAGAAGTCCGTGCAATATCTCTATTTACCCAGCCAGCAAACTCATGTGGGGCCCAGATGGGTGGCACCCTATCTAACTATGGCCTAGTTAGTTTTGTCCTCAGTTTCCATGAGGGCCCCACATGGGTCAGCCCAGATGAGTTAATGAAAAGAACACTGCTCAATGCCACAGAGTGCTAAAAATAAGACTGGAAGCAGCACTGCAGTACTGCTTGATAATTCAATTATTCACTATGCATTTTTACCTTTTTTTTTTTAGAATGTTAAATGAGGATGTTCCCCATAAGGAGTTCTTGGGAGGTTTTGTCAGGTTTAGCTCACTTCTGGGCACAAATGTGTCCCCAAAATATGGTTAAATAGGCACGCATACACATTTTATGCTGAGTTTTCATAGACAATTTTTTATTTATTTTTTTACTGTACAAACTGTATATCAATTAACCCTACTCCTAAACACACAACCCTCACAGAAAACGTTCTGCATTTAAAAAACAAACAAACAAAACAACAACAAAAACAATTTATGGGGACAAAAACAGGGCCACATTAGATCAAATATTTTGGGTATTACTATCCTAGTAGGGGTCCCCACAACATAGACAATACCTCAACCACACACACACACGCACACGCACACGTATACCTGCTATTTATCACGTTATGAGACCAAATGACATATTTTAATTCCCCATGAGGAAACAAGCTTATAAATCATACAGAATGAAGTTTTTTGAAAATTTAAAAATGCATAAAGTTTCCTGTGAGGGGTAGGTTTAGGGGTAGGGTTGGTGTAGGGCGAGAGAAAATACAGTTTGTACAGTATAAAAACCATTACGCCTATGGAAAGTCCCCACTATTCACAGAAACACACACACGCACACACATGTATATATATATATAGTTAGGTCCATACATATTTAAACACAGGCACAATTTTTATTATTTTAGCTGCTGACCAAACCATATTCAAGTTACAGTTATATAATGAATATGTGCTTAAAGTGCACACTCTGAGCTTTAATTTGAGGGCATTCTCATCAAAATTGGAGGAAAAGTTAAGGAATTGCAGTCCGTTAATTTGTACCTCCCCCCTTTTTCAAGGGACCATAAGTAAGTGGTCAGTTGACTCAAAAGTTGCTTCATGGACAGGCGTGGGCTATTCTTTCATTATTTCTACATCAATTAAGCAGGTATAAGGTCTAGAGTTGATTCTAAGCATGCCATTTGCATTTGGAAGCTGTCGCTGTGAACCCACATCATGCAGTCAAAGGATCTCACAAGTGAAACAGACAAACGTTAAGGCTTCAAAAACAAAACAAATCCATCAGAGAGATAGCAGGAACATTAGGACTGGCCAAATCAACAGTTTGGTACATTCTGAGAAAAAAAGAAAGCACTGGTGAGCTCAGCAACATAAAAAGGCCTGGACGTCCACGGAGGACATGGACGTGATGGATGATCGAAGAATCCTCTCCATGGTAAATAAAAACCCTTTCACAACATCCAGCCAAGAGAAGAACACTCTCCAGGAGGTAGATGTGTCACTGTCAAAGTCTACAATCAAGAGAAGACTTCATGAGAACAAATACAGAGGGTTCACCACAAGCTGCAAACAAGGCCAGATTAGACTTTGCCAAAAAAAAAACTTCTAAAAAAAGCCGGACCACTTCTGGAAACGCATTCTTTGGATGGCTGAAATTAAGATAAACCTGTACCAGAATGACGGGAAGAAAAAAGTATGGAGAATACTTGGAACAGCTCATGATCCTAAGCACGCAACATCATCAGTGAAACATGGTGGAGCAGTGTGATGGCATGAGCATGCATGGCATACAGCAAAAGCAACCCAGGAGTTTTTGAAGGTAAAAAAAAGTGGAATATTCTGCAATGGCCAAGTCAATCTCCTGATCTCAACCTGATTGAGCATGCATTTCACTCGCTGAAGACAAAACTAAAGGCAGAAACACCCACAAACAAACAACAACTGAAGTCAGCTGCAGCAAAGGCCTGGCAAAGCATCTCAAAGGAGGAAACCCAGTCTTTGGTGATGTCCATGAGTTCAGGCAGTCATTGCCTGCAAAGGATTCTCAACAAAATATTAAAATGAACATTTTATTTATGATTATATTTATTTGTCCAATTACATTTGAACCCCTGAAAATCGGGGGACTGTGTATAAAAATGGTTGTAATTCCTAAGCATTTTATATTCTATTTTTGTTCAACCCCTTGAATTAAAGCTTATTCATTTTATCTTGTTTCATTTTTAATTCTGTTCTGGTACAGAATACCAGAATGTGATACAGAGCCAAATTTATAAAAATTGTGTCAGTGTCCAAATATATATGGGCCTAACTATATATATATATATACAGTGGGTACGGAAAGTATTCAGACCCCCTTAAATTTTTCACTCTTTGTTATATTGCAGCCATTTGCTAAAATCATTTAAGTTAATTTTTTTTCCTCATTAATGTACACACAGCACCCCATATTGACAACAGAAAGAAATGTAGCCACAGTAATGTATTTCCAGTGAGTCTGGGTTGACAGAAAGGGTTATTTCAACTTCATAGAAATGCCACTGTTGACATACTATTAAGCATAATTTATTAATGTTTTATTGATTCTATTTTTCCTTTTTTTTCTATACTACACTTTGAAATACTTTGGAACAGAACGTTTTAAATTTAAGCCATTTGTTTAGCAAAGGAAATCCTCTTCCTCTTTTTTCCAAAAGGAAACGAGGAAACTGATAAGCGTTCTCTACATGCCATACTTCCTTACAGAAAAGACAAGCATTATCATGTCCAAATAATACCGTCCGTTGGTTAACAAATAGTGTGGATTCATCACACAATTACAGGAGCTTATGTGTAGGTGTGTTTTCTTTTCCAGCCCAGGTGTCTGCCGGTCTGCAGTGAGCTTTTGTTCTTTTGCATCCACAATACTGCATGTCTGAAAGCATCACGTCATCAGAAATCACATGGCTTAAACGAATCAGGCTCTTTTCTTTTAAAAAGAAGCTCACATCCTCACCACCATACCATAGAAAAGGTTTCCCTCCCCGATATGAATCATGATGAAACACAGATGGTATAGGCCTACAGGAAATGTCACTGCGATCTTATCAACACAGAAGTGAAAACACTTATCAAGTTCCCTTGTATAGCATTCTACTAATTTTGATTACAAGGCTGAATAACTTCAACAATGTTACTAATGTGCCTTCGTTAATCTTCGGAACACAATTTAAGATATTTTTGATGAAATCTGAGGGCTCTCTGACCCTCCCATAGACAGCAAGGTAACTACCACGTTCAAGGTCCAGCAAAGTACCAAGATGATCGACAAAGTAGTCCGTGTTACATCAGTGGTTTAACTTTTTGTTGGTACTTTTCTGGACCTTGAACGTGGTAGTTACCTTGCTGCCCATTTTGTAAAATGCTCAGATTTCATCAAAAATATCTTAAATTGTGTTCCAAAGATGAACGAAGGTCTTACGGGTTTGGAATAACACGAGGGTGAGTAATTAATGACAGGATTTTCATTTTTGGGTGAATTATCCCTTTAAGGAAGCAAATTTTGCTGGGAATTGTCATTTGCCTGCAGGAAGAAGGCTACACTTCTAAAACAAGGAAATAAGTGACTTTATTTAATCCATATTACAGTATGCCATAAAGTTATGCTATAATATAATTACACGATGAGGATTAGCCTGATTTTTATAGACAGAAATCCTAACAGGAATCCACACTGGCAGATACTGCAGGGTTTTTTTCTGCACACAGTGAAAGTGTGGTCACAACAGACTGCATTTATTTTCCACATTAAAAAGGATTTTTAGTTTAACTGAATGCTTCTGCTTGAATGATTATGGTTAGAATTGTCTTCTATTTTCATTTGATTCCAGCAAACACAGTGACCATCGTGAGGAATTTTACTATAAAGCCACTTTGGATATTATGGTATACGTCACTGCATGCTGTAATGCATAAACCCATCATATGTTTCTATATTTTGGATAATAATTCATAACATGTTGAGATGAAAATGGCATTAGTCTGTTTTCTTTTATCACTTTGGAAAAATATATCATGGTAATCAAATTGTCACGTGAAACTTTCAACTTCAAAACATATTAAATAAAAAAAAAACTGCATATTTAAAATGACAATCAATCAATTAATAATATTTTTTTATTTTTTTTATTCACATATTAGTTTTTATACACAATTTGTATGTCTTAGAATATAGAAACGCTTCCCAAAATGTGATTAGAGTGTACACAAAGATGGGAAGAGGTGTGAACACCTGCAATATTCCAGAAGGAAGTAAACCAATGAGACTTGACTGCAGCATGATTGTTTTACAGTAAAGCTACTGCTGAAGCTTTGTATGAATAATTGTCTAGGGGTGCAGCATATGCTTCTACATTTCTGATAAAACTGCTGCTTTTGAATAAACAGTCTACGGATAGTTTATGGACAGTTTACAAATTGCACAGCAATATCACCTCCCTATACTTGTGAAATTGCAGAGGGGGAAATCTGGAAGCAGAACAGAACATGCTTCAGATTTCCAGAGCGCTGTGTGACGAGTCAGAAAGAGGACATTTCTTCCTTAATGCGAAATTCGTAGTAATGACGAAACCATTTCACAGAAATGTGAACAATATCCATCAAAAAATGTTTCATTCCAGCCTTTTATTCAACTCTTATTGTTCCTGACCTATTGATCTCCTTTACTCTGCAACTGTCTGAGTGCTTTTACAAGATGAACTTGATAAAGCGCAGCAGGTTCAGTCCAACTAGTCTTGTTTAAATATAATAAAAACTCTTCCTGGATCGCATAACAATTATCAACATTACATGTTTACTCTGAGCAAATGCTATCTGGTAAGTGCACTGACTTATCATTAACATATTATTCCCGAGTTAGTATCTTGTTCTGTGATGAGCTGCCATTCTCCTGTGTCAACAGAGGACCCAGCCAAGTAAAACAGATCGTTTGTTGAAGGCATTTGTATGCATATGCGGGTTAGCAGGAAAACTGAAGCCAGGAAAACTTCTTATGAAGATGATACTGCTGATGTAAAGGAATCTTTCTTTCCTTTTTATGCAAAACTCTCTGCTTGAGGAAAGGTGCGGAAAGTCCAGGCCCGTTTCCCCCGAGTGTTAATGGAAAACTGACCAGCATTCAGTAACACAGCTATATTTTGTCCAGTTTCTAATAAGCCCCACGATGCGTCTTTCTGTTCCTTTTTCTCAGCCAGTCAGACTACCCTTATTTTCATGCCAATTTCAGCTTAAATGACAAATAGAGTCGGCATTTTCAGTAAACGAGCTTCACTGCTCACACGCCATTCCATATTGTTTTCTCATACTATTGGCTTTTGAAAAAGGATTAGTCAAGACGACTTAATTGATCATATATTTAGTGCTTATATGAAAAGCTTATAATTATAGGCATTTTTGGGAAGTGTTCAAATAGGCTAAATTTCTGAATTTTTTTTTCTTCTTGTGCATTAAAGTATGTATCCATTAGGGTTATATCTGTTATTATATTTTTAAAAATGTATTTTATACCCTTTTAGATATGTATTATGTGTAAACACTGTATAGCCCATTTACAGTAAATAATGTGCACATCTGTACAGGTCTTCTGATTCTTGCTTATTACTGTTTTTATTTTATTTTATTTTATGACTCTTTACGCCAATATTTTATGTATTTGCAAGTACCCAGAGTACATACTTGTGTGTTTAAAATGCATGTTGTAGACACTTTTCATTTTTTAACTCAAGTTTATGAGCTAAAATAAAACGTGTAATTTGCACTACTTTACTATTGTCCATTTTACTGTTACAAAAGTTAAGCCGATAACATTGGCGCCTTCTTGTGGATAGACGTGTATTATCATGACTAACAGGAAAGTCAGAGCAATCGTGTTTCTGGGCACAAACATGCCAAAATACCACAAGTTTGGTATAAACTACATCAGCTAAACTGACGACGGCGTAACGTCGTTTAATTTCATTTTGACGCGAATGTGTTCCCGAAGAAGCGCTTGATATTCGTAATATTGCTCGGCTGCAAGCCGACAATATCTGTTCATCAACAATAGGGAGGTGTTGTGTTAGGGAATACGTTTACAGTAAGGCGGCAGATCTGGAAGAGCACAGCTCGGGGGAGGGGAAGAGCATTTGCAGTACCAGGAAAAGTATTACTGACAACCTACCCTTACTGGAACCCTAGTGAGGGCGGAGCTAAACTAGAACATGACTGGAATGCCACTACAAATAACAGAGGACTTCAGCAGGGCAGAGTGAAGAAACACTAACTTCTCTGAACAAGACACCAGTTCTCTCAGCCAGCCAGAGTAGAGACAAACTACATTGGATATTACAAAAAGTTCTCCTCTCCCAAAAGAGACTCAAAGGTAAGAGAGAGTTCTTTTGAAATCAGAGTATTTATAAAGTGCTTTATACAGTATAGTTTAACTCTTTATAATTATATGATTAAGCCTTACCTTATATAAACACATAAATATGTAGCCTATCTTGTTTATTATGTATGAAGGACTAAGAAAAATTAATGCCAACAAATCAAGCTTAAGTCAGAATAATTTTATACTAGAATAAGGGTGACTTTACTACATGCACTTCAATCTACAATGATTTAGTTTGAAAACTGGCTTTAAATCGCTATACTTTAATATAGACATTTACTCCAATTCAGTATTACCGAATGTATGTTTTCTGTGGTACTAATCTAAAATCGTTCTTCTGTTGCCAGCTTTAAGAGGCTCACTCTTTCGCCCGTAAGAGCTGCACACTGCGTGGTATTCCCGGCAGCTGGAGGTTTGTGCGTAGCGCCATGGTCACCCACAGCAAGTTCGACAACGCAATGAGCAGCAGCCTGTTTGACGCAAGCATGCGGCTGCCGTCTCACCATTACAAGACCTTCAGCTCGAAGCTGCAGTTCCAGATGGTGCAGCACGCCGTCAGGATGCTCCAGGAGAGCGGCTTCTACTGGGGCTCCATCAGCGGCAAAGAGGCCAATCACCTGTTGAACTCAGAGCCCAGCGGGACCTTTCTGGTCCGAGACAGCTCGGACAACCGGCACTTCTTCACGCTCAGCGTCAAGACCGAGTCGGGCACCAAGAACCTGCGGGTGCAGTGCGACAACAAGTCCTTTTCCCTTCAGACGGACTCCAAGAGCATGCAGTCCGTGCCTCGCTTCGACTGCGTGCTGAAGCTCGTCCATCACTACATGCCCTCGTCCAGAAGCTCTCTGTCCATCGGGAACTCGAGGAACTCGTACTACATCTACACGGGCGGCGAGAAGATCCCTCTGGAGCTGTTGAGACCCCTTCCTTGCATAATGTCCTCCCTGCAGCATCTCTGCAGGAAGACGGTCAATGGACATATAGACGTTTCCAGCAAAAGAGAGCAGCTGCCTCAACAGCTGAAAGACTTCTTACAAGAGTATGACGCTCCCATTTAAAGAGCTCCGGCTAGCGAAGAAACGAGAAGTGGTGAGGGAGCTAAAGCTAGGTCTAACTCGAGGGTAAAGCTTGTTGGACCAAGAAGTATTGAGCTGTTCATGAGTACATACATGGAGTTTGCCAGTCAACCCGTGTCCGGTCATGAGTACTACCACTGATGCATTCTTATGTGACTGATCTTGAAGCACCGTTCTTGCCATAACAGTCTCGATGAATGCACGTTTGTACTGTTTTCTGTATCAGTGCCAGTATCGTAACCCACTCTGTGGGCACCAATCACTGCCTCTGCACTGCCCCGAATCTGTGAGCTCCGCCAAGCAGGGAGACAGCGAGCCAAATATTTCTTTCAAATAAATATTTGTGCCTTTCAAGCAAAAAGGAAGTAACAGCACAGTACAGCACTGAGGCATAGCGGACATGCCACTGAGAAATGACTTCTGGAGTCAAAGCGGTTCAGATAAAGCACAACGGGACTGAACACAGATTGAGATGGACACATGTCGATATTCTGCTTGTACTTGAAAAAGCGACACTTTGGAACAAAATGTCTGTGTTTTTTTAGTGGTTCGTGTCAGGAGCAGTTCAAAGCAGACTGCTTGTTATTGAATGTATTAACATACATGAGTGTTTTGTGTCTCACCCATGTTTCACCTTGTCCCACATGATGCTGTTTACACACATGAAGATGAATTTAGATCGGTTATCTTTTGTAAAGACATCTCAACCATGTTTTGATGTTACATATTTATATTTATAAAAGCAAGGAAACATTTCAGTAATTTATTAAAGAGCACTATTTTTGTAAAAAAAATGAACTCCATGTCTTTGGGTTTTTCATTTCTCGCAAGTGTTTTACCTGAAAAGGTCTGAAATAGTTCAAAATGTAGATGAATCAGAGTTTGCCGGCGCCTATGATTCAGATTCCCGGAGCGCCTCGTCTGGAAGGGTTAAAGCTGATTCAGAGATATTCACTTTAGCGAGCGGGAATGTTCCTCCCCTCGCGCTCTCTTCCAGTAAGACTTTGATACGAGGAAGCTCGGAATTACAGTTAATGTTTTAAACAGTATTTAAGAGAACAACCTTGGACAATAAAAGTGACTTAATATCTCAAATGCGGGAACAAATGAGCGGATTACATAAGAGAAGAAAAATAACTCATTGTTTCTGTGAATGATAATAAAGTTACCGTTTCTGTTAGTTTACCAAAAGTATGTGATCAGATTCTATTTACAAGACAGATTTAATATAATGCCACTAGCCAAAGGTTCAAACACACCTACTTGTTCTTCGTTATTGCAATTTTCAAAACCTTTTTCAAAACTATGATAACTAAAATGGATGTCATTTTTTTTTTACAGCATTGAGGGAGTTCATATGTATGCCACACGCTTGTTCCTTCACATTTCACTAAAACAAAACAAAAAAAGATCAATAAAAATCTAATAAATACTAAAAATATTTTATTAAAGAAATTCATACACAAAGACAGTTTATATTAAATTCAAATTCAATTAAACAGAAGCCATCGAAAATATTAAATATTAATGCAGTAAATGTTCAGTCCTTTGACTGGTAGTGTAAGAGTAGCAACAGCTGATCTCTCTCTCTCTCTCTCTCTCTCTCTCTCTCTTTCTCTTTAAACAAGTGTAGCTTTACTAGGTAGAGACTGTGATAAAGGGGAAGAGGTGTGACTGCTGCAACTCTTTTGAACTCAGTCTTCTGGGAAACCAATCAAGTTTCTGAAGTCACACTGTGTTGTAGGGTGCCTAACAGAACTGGAATGTACTGTACTTGCACAGCTGGGGAGTGTGTGTGTGTGTGTGTGTGTGTGTGAGAGGGTTTGTCTGAGAATGTGTGATAGAGAGCGATTGTATTTATATGAGCAAGGCAATGTGCATGTGACAGTTGGTACATCGCCAGAATCAATATGTTGTCACAATGAGGGGAAAAAAATTCATATCTGAGTTCAGACCTTGATAAAGTTACTTTTTAGCCCTCTAGTGCTCCTCGCATGGCAGTCAAAAATGACAGAATTATAATTTGTTTTATTGTTTACGTCAATGAAATGAATGTACTAGTTTGATCATTTGTATTTTTTAGGGTATTTTATGGTACTAAATTATATGTATGCAGTAGTTATAACCTGTTTATTACCTGTTAACCATTTTTGAAGCATAGACCTGAAAATAAAATTCAGAACTTAAAATGTCTTGAATGCTTTGAAGCACAGACTAAGTTTGGTTTACTTTTTTGGTTTGTCTGAGAATGTGTGATAGAGAGCGATTGTATTTATATGAGCAAGGCAATGTGCATGTGACAGTTGGTACATCGCCAGAATCAATATGTTGTCACAATGAGGGGAAAAAAACATTCATATCTGAGTTCAGACCTTGATAAAGTTACTTTTTAGCCCTCTAGTGCTCCTCGCATGGCAGTCAAAAATGACAGAATTATAATTTGTTTTATTGTTTACGTCAATGAAATGAATGTACTAGTTTGATCATTTGTATTTTTTAGGGTATTTTATGGTACTAAATTATATGTATGCAGTAGTTATAACCTGTTTATTACCTGTTAACCATTTTTGAAGCATAGACCTGAAAATAAAATTCAGAACTTAAAATGTCTTGAATGCTTTGAAGCACAGACTAAGTTTGGTTTACTTTTTTAAAGAAGACACTTTGCAGATTATTGCTGAAGTAAAAAAAAAAAAAAAGTGAATGTAAAAGCAGTATATGAGTTTATTGTTGTGAAAATTTGATATGAAATATATATTGTGCAAACAGTTCTACTTTAAATGTGTGCTACTCTGAGAAAATAAAAGCCATTAATGGAAACAAGTTATGTTCCAAATTTGAGGTTGATATCAACAAATGAGGACCGTTTAATCTCTTTGAATCATCTCCTTGTCTTTTGTGTATTTATTTATTCATTGTGCATGTTCGCATCATCCAGTGTTGTTTAAAACGCTATACATTTCATGTGCTTTCAACCCTTCAAGAAATATTACTGAGCTTGGCAATAAAACACAAATGCAAATGCTTTGAGGTCAGGCCCATTGGATTGAGTGAACAAAATGTCAAATTTGAAATGAGTTTTGGTTGCACTGGAAAAACGGTTTCACCACAGAGAAACTAGGTGCTTCTGACAAACAGGCACATTGTGTACTAAAAACCCTTTGCCTTTTTCTTCTTCCTGCTATACTGATGTTTACAGTAAAACGAGAAAAAACATGCTTCTCTCACAACACGTGAACTATGAGACTCTTAACCAGGAAACAGTTTCGTAGCAGCCACACAAAGGCGTGCAACCAGCTGCCGCTGCACGCATGTGCAGAACCAACTCAACTGTCTGCATTTACCAGAATTCAGTGACAGTCTGTTTAGGTGCAAAGTCTTTCAGGTCTGGGTAGTATGTGTTTGCTACTCCCTCGTTGATAATATGTTGCATAAAAAAAAAATAAAAAATGACCCGGATAAACAAGAATGAACATGAAACTATAAAACTAATATGCATTTGTATTAGTCAAGTCATAGTCATCATAAATCTGCCTCCCAGAGACCTTTGATGTTAGATTTGAAATATATTTACATACCAAGACTTTTAAACATGTATTTAAAATAAATACAATTTTAGTAAATTTAATCAACAATCACAAAGAAACAGCAAGTAAAAAAAATGTAACTGAAATACTTTCTTGTAGAAAAGTACTAATCTTTGTTTTATGTATGGCTATATTTGTTTATTTATTTTGTTGAGTGTTAGGGGTGTGTTCAAATCGTTAACCCTATGTGTGAGCTGTAGCAGTCATTTTTTTTATTTTAGATTGCTGTGGTAAAACACAAAAGCTCCTTTCATCAGTTCTAATAAGGTAAATATCACATTTCAGTTCTAAGCCAGCTGCCATCTTTTCCAGTGTACTCCATAATCAAATGTGAAATTCTCTAGTAGCCTAGCGAGAGATCACGTGATTCCACAGAACTTCTTTGTAATTGCGCAACCCAGTGAGCTGTAATAGTAACGCGCCGTCACAAATACCTCAGGCCTTCTCTTTCTCATTCTCTCATTCTTTTTCTTTTTTGCTTTCACATGCCATGTGCCACCTTACTTTTGTCTTTCCTGAGCTTAACGTGTGCCACCTTGGCAGGGTTCTTTTCTTGAGAAATAAGGAAGTTGTAGATCTACAGTGAAAAAAACGAACAAAGTAAAGCCCCTCTAGCGAGAGAAGGAAGTATATAGGCTGCATAAAATAATTTCAGCACAGCTATTTGGAAGTATGACGTTATAATGATTCATTGACACTGCTGAGGTCAAATATTAAGAAATTTACCAAAAACTTCCCTGAAAAAAAGAACTGCTTACATATTCATATGAATTACTTTTGGTATCAACTTCCAACCCGACTTTACAACAGATGTCATAACTTCCCAGAGCACTTATCTCAGGTGGCTATGAAAATAAAGTGACGCCTTTATGGACTCTAAAGATAACCAATGCTTACGTCATGAAAATATGTATTAAAATGAACGACGTCGATCATGTTCAAAGGGACTGCCCCTTACAAGCACCTCATTGTCACTCTTCTCATTTGCAGCTGGCTGCACTTTTCCAGTATGACGAAATGGAAATGATGTAATCTCAATGCAGTAATCTCGATGCTTTTGTGAGAGGCTTTATCATCAACGTTTCGAAAGTGCTCTCTGTGTTTAAACGTAGTGACTGGTTACTCCCCAAACATGTATAATTTAAAGCACACTTACAAACAGACTCAGAATCCAACACAAATGCTTGTTTGCCGTCAATGGATCTGTAGAGTGAGTCAGGCAGGGTAAGTCTCACTCCCACTCATACAAGTGCAATAAACGCAGATGTAAACACACCTACATATACATCATGCTCATTGTGCTTACAGTATATGTCTTTTATGGCGACGCTAAGCGTGTGAGGACATGTTACCGAATCACATAACAGTCTGAGCTCTCAAAGACACAATACAATTGTGAGATTTTCTTTTTGATGATTAAAGCAAGGTAACACGATTTAATGTTTCAATTAATATAGTTACATAATAATAAAACTATAGCTGTGTCCAAATTTGCATAGCCTACTTAAGCACTATTTAATTCCATTTTGGGTTACACTTTACTTTAAGGGGCGTGCATAAGATTGACATGATACCTACATAACCATGACACATGTCATGAATATGAAGGTTTTTTACAAGTAAAGTGTTACCCCATTTTGTAGTACAAATAGTGTTTTCACGACTAAATAATATCCAAATGATGCAATTAATTAAAAAACAAAATTTTAATATTGGCAGTGCTGGGTAGATTACTTACAAATTGTAATCCATTACTGAGGAAGTTCAACCTGCCTCAAGAGCTGCTGAAACAGTTCTACTCCGCCATCATTGAATCCATCCTCTGCACTTCAATAACTGTCTGGTTCAGCTCAGCTACCAAATCTGACCTCAGAAGACTACAGAGGGTAGTCCGGACTGCTGAGCGAATCATTGGTACAATCCTCCCTTCTCTCCAAGAACTGTACTCGTCCAGAGTGAGCAAAAGGGCTGGCAGAATCACTCTGGACCCCTCACATCCAGCACACTCCCTCTTTGAACTGTTGCCATCTGGTCGACGCTACAGAGCTCTGAGCACCAGAACGACCAGACACAGGAACAGTTTCTTCCCTCAGGCCATCCATCTCATGAACACTTGACAATAACTGTGGAACACACACTATTTATTCACTCATACACTTATTTATCTAACACTCATACTCAGCCTACACCTCAAATTTGCACATAA